TTTGGTTTGGTTTGGTTTGGTTTGGTTTGGTTTGGTTTGGTTTGGTTTGGTTAGTTGGTTGTTGGTGGTGGTTTGGTTTGGTTTGAGGTTTGGGGGTTTTGTTTTTGTTTCTGTTTGTTTTCTTTTTTGCTAATTTCATAAGTAGTAGAAGTTTATAAAATTTCTTCAATTATTAATGAAGCCAGCCACATAAAAGAATTGATAGACTTGGGCAGGGGTGCTGAATCACCTCACAGGAATCCCTCACTGTTCTGCCTACAGGTGTTTGAGCCAGTTCTCTGCCCTGGCAAAGATTTTCTCTAACTCCACAGTAGAATGATTCTGCCGTCAAATACTCAGATACCATCTTTCCATACCATTGTATCACATGTCTCTCCGTGCTCTACTTCCTCATTACCCTGAGCTATTTGTCTATTCAGAAAACAGAACCCCAAATTTTACACATTGATCTCCAGTGGACATCACTTCTTTAAAAAGGGGGTTTGTAGAACATTCTTGTGGCAACATGTACCAATAATAGTATTGTTATAAGCCAAACTGTTAAGGGAGGTTTCTTCCACCAGATGGTGTTTAGGGTACTTTTTATTTTTTCTATTAATCTGTAGTTTTAATTTTCCAGTCATGAACATGGAGTAGTTGTGTAAACAAAAAGAAAACTTGGCATATTTAGAATGCCTCATGAAAGCGGAGGCTGCAGTCTCTTCCAGGCTGTGGGCCCTCAGATGAGAGCTGGGCCCAAGCTTCCAGGCACCAGCTCACCAGCTCACCTGATGAAGTCATCTAGTAAACAGGTCTGATGGACAAGATGGCAGCACTGTAGCCAGCGTGGCTGAGTGTTATGCTACTGAGCACACCCTGGGCCACAGCCATCCCTGGGCATCTCGGTGGCATTAGCATTGTTGCACCTCAGGGAGGTCAGATGGCCTAGCAGCAGTCAGAGGAGCTCTGCTCTTGTGAGATGAAGCACATCATAGAATGAGATAAAAGCCGGGTCACACTAAGTTCTGTAAGACTTGCTGAAGACTTGCAAAGAGATTAATCTAATCAAGATGTTCAAGTTGAAGAATGGCAAATGGGCTTTGGTGATCAAATTGCTTTACACCCACTCCCCTCCCTGAAAAATGCAATTGCAGACTGGGGAAAAGGCTCAGCTGGTAATAGAGCTTGCAAGTATGATGACCTGGGTTCAAATCCCCAGGACCCATGTAAGCAGATGTAATCACACACCTTGTACACATCTCACACTTGTGTGCATATATCACATACACGCATGCACATACCACACACACACATCACACACATACACACATATACTGTACTTTATAGGAAGTGCATTATACTTTACAGAAACCCCTAGATTAGATCTCCTGTTATTAATTGTTCTATTGCTGCAGAAAACCCATGAAGCCATGTCTGACTTTATGTAGACTGCTGAAATCTGGAGCTGAACAAGGGTTTATGTGCTCTCTTTAAACCAGCAGAGCAATGTTTCCATTTGTTAGTTAATTTAGAATAAAATTATTTTCTTCAGAATAAAAACTAAAAGCACCACGACAGGAGTAATGACAGAACATGAATAAAGAATAGAAATAAAGATTCTCTTTCCAAATTATATCCCCTTAAGTCTGGATTTTAAAAAGACCTATGGAATAGATTTTATTTACACAGAAACTATTGCAGACTTCACAAGGTGAAGCAAAGCACCGAAGACGTGGGAGTCTGATGGGAAAAGTCCATGGATTTTCTTCCATCACTGAGGAGACTCTGCTTCCCTTAAAGAGGGAGAGAGATAAAGGGACAGATGTACATCGGGGGGCTTTGGAGGCAATGAATATTGAACTTTATGCAAATACGTTTTTTGGTTTGAGTCCTTAAAGGTCTGAATGCCTAGTTCACAGTCCATTACCAGGAAGACCAGTGTATGATCAAATAAAAGGCAGGTGTAGAACACACAAGCACTTTGGCCTCAGTATCAGCTGTGTTTGCCCTGCCACGTGTAATTAGGCTTGAAGGGAAGTCGTAATTGGAAAAAGATAATCTTAAGAATGGTTAGTGGGTTAGTATCTGGAAATTCTGGCAAATCATGCAAGCAAATCCTAAAGCCAGTATTCCTCCCAAGCAGTCTGTTTGAGTGTGCATGTGTGAACCATGTAAGGTGCAGACCCCTCCCCAGCTCCTTCATCCTTCCTATGCTCCTGCAACCAAGCCAGAGTACCTTGGGAGGGAATTCTTCCAATAAGCATTTGCTCTATGTTATTGGCAAGATCACAGTTTACTAATGTGCCCATAGACATAACTGTTACAGCATACCTGTTTTTAAAAATAGAGCTAAAATTATTTTTAATGGTAGTTACTGAAGCTTCTAAAATGATGCTCAGTCTAAAGTTTAAAATGTATGCTTTAAAATATGCTAGCTATCATTTATAGTTCCACTTAACCCTATATATGGGACAAATTATACTTTAAAGAAAACAGTAGGACATAGATAGATAGATAGATAGATAGATAGATAGATAGATAGATGTAGATATAGATGATATAGATATAGATATCATTGAGAGATATCTCTTAGAAAATTACTCATAGGCAATAAAAAATTGGAAACCATAATACTTTGTTGTTAAACTTTAAATGAAAAAAAATTTTTTTTGAGACAGGGTTTCTCTGTATAGCCCTGGCTGTCCTGGAACTCACTCTGTAGACCAGGCTGGCCTCGAACTCAGAAATCCACCTGCCTCTGCCTCCCAAGTGCTGGGATTAAAGGCATGCGCCACCACCACCCGGCTTAAATGAAATTTTATTAATAAAATTCCACAAAGATGACCTTTAAAAGGACTGAGTTAGTTTTCAAAATCTATTAAAATTGATTTGTTTATAAAATTGTTTATTTCATAATAGCCCTGAAATATGATTTTCCATGAGCATCAGGCCTCAGGGCTGATCAGGATCTGGAAGTTTGTTGTCCGCCCAGTTGTACCAATAAAAGAGAAGACCATAGCAGAGAAAGACCAATCAGACAGCCAGAACTTTACTAAAAGAGAGACCTTGGCTTGAGAGACAAGTCTTGGCTAAAGGAAGCAGAGTGAGAGACTGGGTTCAGCGTTCAGGACCAAGATCCAGAGTCTGCTAATCACCTAGCGTTTGAACAGATCCAAGGGAAAACCACCAACCTACAGCTGAGTGATACATCTGGATCCGCACCAGCGTGGATATTGTTCTTCTAAAAATGTCCAGGTCAGTCAGAGATTTAGGTCAGGTGAGCTAGGCCACCCCAGGTCTGGAGGATTGAGCTGGAATCAAACACAAATGTTGAACTTCAGGGGACAGAGGCAGTCAGAGAGAGGCGCAATGGTTCCTTCAGCCAGGGGACGGGTCAAAACCGGGGATGACTTCATCATTATTTGACTTCAAACAAAAGAAAGGATCACATGCAACCAGCATGCTGAAAGTTCTTCTAATTGTAAGCCTCATGAGGCCTCGGCAAAACCAGCAGAGGCCCTGGATCAGAGGAGAGCGGGTGCCCAGCGGAGGAGAAGAAAAAACAGCCCACAGGAAGAGGAAATTTCTCCTTGGGATGAAGGGTCAGCTTCAAGGACTCTTGACGATTCCTCTCAAGAGAGAGAGCTCCCCTAAAGAATCAGTGCTAGGAAGGCTGTAGGGGGCGTGGCAAGTCTGGTACACTCACCTGATCCATGGCTGTCCTCAGAAAAGGGGCCAGCCTGCTCGGCAGCATGCTCTCCACGCTCTCCACACTCTCCAAGCCTGTTCCTGAGCATGGCTTCTCTCTAAACAAAACTACAAAGAAGCTTTTTGTATGATCTATTTCCTTTGATTCGGGCTGCGTTAGCAAGCCAGCAAGAAACATGGCTGGTGGGAGCCCCCTTTCTGTGTGGCTGGCCTGTTCCTTTCATGTCTCTGAGAGTCCTTCTGTTCATTGCTTGGTCACTTGAGAGTCAAACCTTAGCAGCAGCTTCATGACCAGAATCAGAAAGGGGAATCCATTTTTTTTTCTCCAGACTCCTCACAGTCAGCCCCAATGCAGCCAAAGAAAGCTCATAAAAAAAACACACATCACATCTTGTAAATATTCTTCTGAATAACAACACAAAATGTCCCCAGCTTCCCATCACTCTTAGAAGAAAATGCAAACTACGCACGTCTTCCAGAGTCTTAACTGATCAGATGAAGGCCAGCTCCCAGGCTCCCCTGCCATCCCCCCTCCCTCCACGCAAGACTTCAAGAGCTCTGTTGTCCAGGACACCATACAATGAAAGATCTGGTCATACTTCTCTTAATTTACTTGCTTCTTTAAAGTCTGTGTTATTCGAGAAACACTGAGCGCAGCTCTTCATCACCCTTTAATCATTTTGTTTAAGTGTAGACACATAGCTATTTTTAACAAGCCTATATTAAGAGTCACTCCTCCTGTCCTGGTTTGTGGTCACTCCATCTTATACAGGACCATCTTTTATTACCCAAGCACCTATCGGTCTTAACTCCTGATGCCTGCAGTTGGGGAGGAAAAGCAGACATAAGCATCCTTCATAAAACAGCTGTCCCTGAGAAGCAGGCCCCTACTGCACAGCACCACTGCACTGGGGAACCCTGCCCATCTTTCCCTGTGGTTCCAGTCTATAAGATAGGCTTGCATCTTTCGAATTGCAGTGCTTCATCTCGGCTGGGTGTGTGAGGAAGCTTGCTGCTCACCTTAGCCATTGTCGCATCACTGTTCAAGGTGGCTAAGAGAGAGAGCCCTTTGCTGTTTCAGCATTCCAGGTGAGCTCGTGGGAAACACGAGCTCCAGGAAGTCATGAATCAGCCTTTCTCAAGGGTCTCAGCAAATGAATCATCGCTCTGAAAATCCACGATTGTTAAAGGAGCTGAACTTGGCATGCCAGAGACCTCCTTTTTTTTTTCTTTTCTTTTTTTTTTTTTTTGCATTATTGCAAACTATTTACTACAGTATGATGTGGAACCTGACCAGACAGCCACAGATGGCTAAAGAAAATTGATACATATGCACAAAAGAGTAGTATTCAGCCATAAAGAAGGAAATCATATTTTTTGCTACAGTGTTGAGAGAGCTGGAAGCCACTGTGTTAACTGCAATAGTCAGACACAGAAAGACAAAAACCACATGTTTTGTGTCAGGTAAAGGCAAAAAGAAAAGATGGTCTGTGTGTGTGTGTGTGTGTGTGTGTGTGTGTGTGTGGTGTGTGGTGTGTTTTAAGTATGATTGCTGACTAGAACTTAGTGCAGCAGATACCTCACTTGTCAGATGGCAAGAGTAAGGGAGATAACACAGTAGGTTTTCTCCACAGTCTCCAGACAAACATGGCTTCTCTCCAGACTCAGTACAATGCTTGGTCATTTGAGGAATGGGCCTATTTTCCAAAACCTCTTTTAAGTCTCTGGATTATTCCTTCCAAAACCCTCAGTGTGTAGAAGTGTGGCCACAGTGATAACATTCCGAGAAAGGTGCCTTTAGCCAATGTTTGGCCATTGTGCAAGCATCACAGAATGTACTCACAAGAACTCACATGGTACAGGCTAGGTAGAGATCCTATAAGATCTGGGCTATATGTTATATACAATAACATATGTAACTGTCACTGACAGGAACTTTGCATGCAGAGCATAGCTGTAATGGTAAAATGGCAATTATGTAATGCTGGACCCTTCATCTCTACATAAACTTGTCACTTATCACCCACTAGACTGCTAGAAGGCAACTAAAGGAAGCTAGGGCTCACCTGTTATTGAAGATCTTCTGATTTCAATTCCCTATGCACACACACACACACATACACACATACACACACATACATACACACATACACACACACATACACATACATACACACAAACATACACACATACACACACACATACACACATACACACACACATACACACACACATACACACACTCACATACACACACACATACACACATACACATACACACACATACACACATACACACATACACACTCATACATACATACATACACATATACACACACATACACACACAAATACAAACACACACACATACACACATACATACACACATACACACACACATACACACACACATACACGCACACACACACTGCTTCACATCAGCATCTTTGACTCTTCTATGCTTTGTCCTGTTGCACACCACCACCACCACTAAATACAGTCTCCCTCGTGACCTTTGATCTTTTTAGGACACAGTACCATATCTTTCCTCCCTTCCTGACCTATTTGGCCAATTTTTTCCAGCTCCTATTTCAGTTGTGTCTCTAGCTCCCTAATGTGAGATCCCCAAGAAGCTTGGACATTAGAACATTCACAGTGTAATGTGTTGTAACGTGCCATTCCATATGCCTCTAAAGCTAGTATCTAGTCCCTCCCCTCTCTAGTTTTTCTTCCCCATGTCTCTGCACCTGACACCAACATCTACAGTAAAAAAAGACTGTTTTCCTTCCCCATTAATTAGCCAGCCTGCTCACTCACATTCCTGAACACACATACCTATCACAAGTCTCTGCATTACATTACATCAAGTTCTCTGTGGTTGGCAAGAATAGTGCATTGCTTGAGGAAGGAAGTGGCCAAACTGCCCTGTGATCCCTGAAGGCTAATCCAGAAAGAGAAGGACTTTAGTCACGGACAAGAGCACAGGACTTGGAGGCTTGCTCAGCCAGATGGATCAGGTGGCAACTGGAAGAGAGCCACTGGGAGCTGAGATACCACAAAGACAACTCAATGCCAAGACTCTTAACAGACACCTATTTGACAAGGCATTAAGTGCTCATTGCAGGACAGTAGCACTGCCTTCCCCAGGGAGGATGGAACAAAAAAGATCCCTTTAATAAACTTCTCACAGTCAAGATTCTTCAATTCTTTCCTTACTTCTGTTTTACAAGCCACGGAACTGAGAGACAAGCAGATGGCATATCCTTAGAAGTGTTATTGTCACCTTTTAGCTTTCTTAAGCACACAGAAAGAGTACTGGACTGGAAATGAGAAGCTGAGATTCCCATCTCTCCCATGGGGTATTCATTTCAGAACCATTGAAATGACATGTATTAAAGCTGCTGTTGTCATGGGACCCTGCTGACAGCAAATGATCAACCCTGTGACTCAGGATTCTCTACTTTGCCAATGCAAATGCCCTTACATTCAAGTGAGTCAGGAGACCATATAACCCTAAAAGATATCATAGTCTCTGTGAGATAGCACCTCTATCTTCTCTACCAATGTACTCAACAGAATAAAACTCAGTGATGAAGAACAAAGAATACAACTAGATTTTTAAAAAAGAAAATGAAGAGCTGGAGAGATGGCTCAGCAGTTAAGAGAGTCTGCTGTTCTTGAAGAGGGCCCAAGTTTAGCTCCCAGGACTCATACCAGACAGCTCATAACTGCCTGTAACCCCAGTGTCATAGGATCTGATGATACCCTCTTTCATCCTCTGAGGGCATCCACACACATATGCACATACACATAAATAATAATAAAACAAATAAATAGAAAGAATGGAGCATGTAGAAAATATTTATGAACCAATGGTTCTGAGCTGGACCACTTTCAGCAACAAAACAAATAAAGTTGCAGGAGTCTATAACCCACAAAATAAAATAAGCATCGATGAATCTACACTAATTAGCTGCTTAATCAACTAATTAACTAAGGAGAAGGGATGTCCTTTCCTTATGAAGAATACTGCTTAAGGAGAGTGGAAAAACAACAGATAAATGGCAAAAATACTGACACATAATGACAATAATTATATTCAGCAAGATCCACATGTATATGATAAATTAATAGCAAAAGTTGGAGGAAACAATGGGATATTTGCAAGTTCTCAAAAATATATCCTTAAAGAATTCATAAATTTCAGAAAAAATAGTACCTTTACAGAACAGAAATCCAGTACATACTCCATTAACCAAGATATCACAATCAATATGACCAGTCACAAAACGTATTGATATCATCGACTGAGAAGGACATTGGTGTAACTGCTTTCTTTCCTTCTTTCCTTCCTTCCTTCTTTCTTCCTTCCTTCTTTTCTTTCTTCCTTCTTTCCTTCCTTTCCTTTTTCTTTTCTTTTTTGTTTTGAGACAGAGTCTTACTGTGTAGTACAGGTTGGCTTATACTACTCTCTATGTAGATTAGACTGACCTTGAACTCAGTAATATCTGCCCCCTCTGCCTCCAGAGTGTTGGGATTAAAGGTAACCTTTTGGAAAAATCATACAAGATCCATTGTGATGTTACTAAATACATTTTCAACACTTGAAAAACAGTACAGTTGGAAGGGCAGGAAAGCTATGTGTCCTCATTGAAAAGCATGTGCACAACTTAAGG